CCACAGATCTGACAGTCCTCCATCTTCCCAGAACTGTGAGCCACAGATCTGACAGTCCTCCATCTTCCCAGAACTGTGAGCCACAGATCTGACAGCCCTCCATCTTCCCAGTACTGTGAGCCACAGGTCTGACAGCCCTCCATTTTCCCAGTACTGTGAGCCACAGATCTGACAGCTCTCTCCGATTTCTCATTCTTCCTCTGTTTAATGATTTTCCAAATCATATTGATTGCACCTCTGTCAATCTCAGATCTATGCCACACCTTTCCCATCACTACTGTGGTTTAAAGTGGGCTTTATCACACTTCCCATTGACTCAGTCACACTGCATGCAGAATGACAGAGCAGATGACAAACCAGAAAATAGGAAGAGGGCTTCTGATATGTCCTTGTGTTAACTTTTATTCATATGTACTCATGAAGCAAATTCATCTTCATATATTTTTTGATTCCCCATGATGCCCTATGCTATGTAGTGACAATTTAAGACTAAAGAAGGCAAGAAATGTGCACATATTCATTTTATGACTCAGTGACTCTGAGAAAGTAGGGCCTGCACCCAGCCAGTTCTAACACTGTGTGATGAGTTCTATAACAGTGGTCCTCTTAGGTGGTATGATATCACAGGACAACTTCCAGGCTACTACCAAGTCACCAAAGAAGACAGTCTACAAGAGCAAATTCTAAACAGAAAAAAGAAACAAACCAAAGTATATATGGTCATACTTATATACATAGATTAAGTAAGTCACATGTTCATGAATATTGTCAGATGCATTAAGAAAAATTAAAAATAATCCATGAAATCAAGACTAATTATAACATGTTTCCATATTTATGTTAAGCAACCACAGCTTGCAAAGCATATCCAGCTATATTAGGGCAGGTAAGCAGAAACCCACTATGACTCAATAGATAAGGAATGTTTGCTTTCAGAGGGACTACCACACCTAGAGGGTTGCAGAGTGGCTGAGTGTTATAGTCTGGAATACCCCAACACACTCCCTTTCTCTATAGAAATTCCACCATTTATGAATGGCCACCACTGATCATACACTGAGCATGGGACTGTTCAGATATCCAGCTTAGGTCAAATTTTCTCATCTATCCTTGCAAGGATACTCACAATCTTAAGTATTGATTCTCTGTGGTTAACAACCTCTGATGTGCAGTCAGTTATTAATGACACCACGTGGACCATCCGATTCCGGATTAACTGCCTCCATTCCTATGATTTCTTTCTGCTGCCACCTGTTTGGTAGCAAACCTGCTCAGCTATGGAAACTGACAGCTGGTTCTTCAGTGGGGAGCGATGGGAGCAGAAGTCAGGTGAAAATGGCTCATTAGCAACGAAATGGAAAAATCTGCAGACTTCCCTGAGGACATCTTTGGTGATGTGTCTGTCTTCTAAATTATCTTTATAAATTAATTATAACGATAAAATAGTAATTTTCAATAGTTTTAGAGGTTCCTATGACATGATAACCCTTTGTTTAATACACCGATTTATGTGTTTTTCAGGTGAGATTTCCATTGTGATATGAATTTTAATGTAGAGTATGAAGATAATTCTTCTGACAACTTGGCTTTCAGAGAGTGATTCAAGAGGAAGTAACCCAGACTGGCAAGTTGGCTTGTGGGACTCTAGTCACTCACAGACTGGGAATTCCCACAGTTCTTTTAACTCTATTCTTCAACAACACATCAAGGGAACAGAAACTAAAGCCCATGACAATTTGATCATGCTTATAGACTTCTTGGTTGTTGTTTGTCTTTACTCTTTTGGGGCACCTGCCATCAGATAAATCACACACAGTGATATATCCTAATTATAAATGATCGGCCTTAGCTTGGCTTGTTTCTAGCCAGTTTTACTTAAATTATCCTGTCTAGATTTTTCCTTTGGGCTTTTCCCTTTCTCTTACTTCTTTAAATCTTACTCTATTTTGTGGTTTGCTATGTAGCTGAGTGGCTGGGCCCTGATCTCCTCCTTCTTCTCTGGCTATCCCTTTTTTTCTCCCAGGTTTCTCCTTCTATTTATCTTCTCTGCCTGTCAGCTCCAGCCATACCTTCTCCTGCCTTGCTATTGGCCGTTCAGTTCTTTATTAGACCATCAGGCGGTTTAGACAAGCACAGTAAAACATCTTTACAGAGTTAAACAAATGCAACACAACAAAAGTAACCCACCTGAAAATAATACTCTACAACACTCTTTTCTCTCTATGTCCCTCCTCTTCATCTTCTGTTTATTTACTGAGAGTTACTAAAAGGATACTTGTCTGAAATATCTCTCACAGCTGTAGGATTTTAAATGGTTTAAGCCTCTTTTGTACTAGAATTCTTGAATTATCAATAGATACAAAGCTTTATACTTGGACTTTGTTATTACTATTTTACACATTTATTTCTATTATTTAATCTGCGGACACACACACATGCCAAGCTGTATATGTCTGAAGTCAGAGGACAGCTTTCAGTAGTCAGTGCTCTCCTTCTACCACGCATGATCTGGGAATCGGATTCTGCTTTTTAGTTTTGCTGGCTTGTACCTTTATGCATTCACCACCTTGCCAGCTATTGAAATAAAGATGTGGTGCTTTTATAAACAATACATAGAGGGAAAGTGTCATAGAATGAGAAACTAGGTTTTTGTGAGGTCTTCACATCTGCTATAAAGTATTGACGATTAAACTATTCACACACACACACACACACACACACACACACACACAAAAAAAAAAACTTCTTATAGTAAGTTGATTGTCATAGAGTATTTCCTATTCTTAAAATTATAGAGATAAAGTACACTTAAATAATAAATGTCATTGTCAGGTTGGTGTGCAGTGGTGCATGTCTGAAATCCTAGAACTCCGGAGGCAGAAATAGGTTGATTGCCTTGAGTTTGAATCCAGCCTGGTCTACACAGTGAATTCCAACCGGCAAGTACTGCTGAATGAAAGGCTGACTCAAAGGTCAAACAAAGAAAAGAAAAATTGAATTTCTAAGATACAAATCATCATAAGTGAAAGAAGATCCATACATGCAAAAAACAAACAAAAACAGTGCATGGTGGCTCAGTACAGTGGTCTTCTCTTCAGACAGTGGCTATAAGAGCATGTTCTTATGTTAGA